GCTCCTCCGCTCCCTTCACTGGCTTCCAGTAACTGCTAGAATCCACTTCAAGACACTGGTACTTGCGTACCATGCTGCGAATGGATCTGGCCCTTCCTACATCCAGGACATGGTTAAACCGTACACCCCAGCACGTGCACTCCGCTCTGCATCAGCCAAACAGCTCGCTGCACCCGCACTGCGAGGGGGACCCAAGTTCCCGTCAGCAAAAACACGTGGGTTTGCTATCCTGGCTCCAAAATGGTGGAATGAGCTCCCCATTGAAATCAGGACAGCAGATAGCTTACACATCTTCCGACGCAAACTGAAAACTCATCTCTTTAGACTCCACTTCGAGCGATAAAATTACTAACAAAGCACTTATATACTAATAAAGGGCTGGCTTTTTAAATGCCAGTTGAGTAGCACTTGAAATGTTTGGCTCTATGAAACCTGATGTACTTATATGATTCTGTTTTCTTAAAGGTTGTATCTTCCTGGTCGAATGCACTTATTGTAAGTCGCTTTGGATAAAAGCGTCAGCTAAATGCAATGTAATGTAATGTAATGTAATGTAAGAAGTAGAAAGTACAGGTATTTGAGTTCAACATGTAAGAAGTAGAAAGTACAGGTATTTGTGTTCAACATGTAAGAAGTCAAAGTGAAAAGTCGAAACATGTACTTAAAACCAGTAACAAAGTATTTGTACTCCACTAATTCCCACCTCTGGATTTCGGTGTTTGTTTATTCCCAATGCACATCAGAGATAATCACATCAACAGGAAGTGAACGTCACTCCGAATTACATCAGCGTATGTTTCATGTGTGTGTGTTGAGATGTGGAACAGACAGCGTTCAGAGGAGATTTAAATCTGATCCTTCCTGATTCGTTTCGGTGTTTTTATTTTTAAATGCCTGCAGAAAGAAACGGGACACATCTGTGATGCGTTCAGGGACATGTGTTTTACTCTCACAGCTGTCGGTTTCAACGACTCAGAGATAAATCGTGTTTTACATCTGAGATACATTTCAGTGCTGCACGTAAAAGGGATGTTAGAGTTTTACACAGATACACTGCTCTGTAGTGCTATCAGAATACTTTCTTTAACCCGGGGGAAATTGGGTTTGTAGCTATTTTTTAATATAACATAAATAAAAGATGAATAAATATTTTCTTTTTTTAATACAAATATTTAAATAAACACGAAAAAGTAAGTATAAAAAGATAAAATTAAATAAAAAGATGAAATATAAGAAATTAAATATATAAAAAATTAAAGTAAGAATGTGCGATAAAATATACAAAATTATATACAAAATAAATATAAATAAATAAATACAATTAAAGTTAAAAACAAATGATAATAAAATTCAAAATTCAAAAATTCAAAAAATTCAAATTCGAAATTCAAATACAATTCAAATGTAATATTAAATTAACATAAAATAACAAAAGTAAAATAAATGTAAAATATAAACATAAGAAGTTATTTGTAAGTCACATTATGATGTAATTAAAAATCATAAATCCATCACTTTATACAGAACTTCTTGGTTTAATATTTACTTTTAGAGGGAAGGTGTGGTTTGGACCTTAATAATTAATCTACCCGACAACAAGAGGCGGCTTCAATAAGTAAATACAAACGAGCTCGAGCTTCGTCACTCCACTTGATGAAAGTGAATCGCCCCTCTTGAAGCAATTCATTCATTTCTAAATCAATAACATCCATTTCACTTCCAGGTTCAAAAGACGGCGGGCGGGAGATGAAAGCGGAGCGGGAAACAAAGACAGAATAAATCAATGGCTGACTCCTGTGCGCTAACGCAGACGGATGTGTTGTCGTTGAATAAAAGATCAAACGAGACACGGGGAATAATTGGAAGGCTCGTTAAGTGATGGATGCAATTTAAAAACAGAAGTAAGCACATGACCTTCTTCACAGCAAGGTGATGGATGGAGAGAATGGAGTGTGTGTGTGTGTGTGTGTGTGTGTGTGTGTGTGTGTGTGAGTGACCTTTTTCTCCGTGGTGATGTACAGGTGTTGCAGCCCGGTATCGAACAGCAGGTTTTTGTTGACTTTCTCCCCGGTGACGTCGACCGGCGCCCGACCGTAAACCTCGGGGTGAGCGGACAGATGTACCTTCAGCACCTGCAGGGAAAGCACACACACACACACACACACACACACACACACACACACACACACACACACACACACACACACACACACACACACACACACACACACACACACACACACACACACACACACAATTAAAAAATATATATAAGTAAAAATTGAATATAAAATAATATTCTAAAAAATAAATACGTAATGAAAATGTAAACAAAATGAAATAAAATCTGTAAAAAAAAAAAACATAATAATAATATAATACTAATCACCAAATAATATCTTCAACATAATGGCTTTAAAAACATAATAGAAAAGTTCATACACAATAAAAAAAATCATTCATCATCGTTTAGTTAAGATTAAATAACTGTTGAGTTTAAACAGGTATCAATTAACTAAATATATAAATTATATTTCTAGTTTCTAGTTAATACCATAAGGAAACGTTAATGTCTAAGATAAATAATTAAACGGTTGTTAAATTGCAAAGACACACACCTTATGGTTAAAGCAACATAAGGAAGTAAGTAATGGTAAATAAAGCCAGTCTCACCTCTCCAGTGGAGGTGCCGAGGAACGCCACAGCGTGCGTCATCTCCACGGCTACAGCCACGGCGGTCATGTGACCTTTACGAGCCAACGGGGGATCAGACGTCAGGGCGAACTCCGCCTTACTGGCCAATGGGGAGGGCAGGAACTCAGCTCCACATCCATACTTGAGCGTCATGTTGATCTGAAGGAGCAGAGCAGGAGTCAGTGCTGAAACACTCAGATTATCCGTCTTTCTATCAGGTAAAGGTGAAGTGTTCTCACATGGTTTTTGCTGCTGCACAGCTCCTCAGATTTGGATGAGTACGGTGAATATACGGCGCCCTTTTCGTTGATGATGCCGTTGTGGCTGTAGCACGCTCCGATTATCTCCACCAGCCTTTTGTTGATGGAGCGCAGCGGATACATGCCTTAAAAAAACAAGAGAAACAACATTTACACTCAAATATTAAACATCTGAGGCCGTGTTGTCTGTTATTCGGACAATTAAAATGTTAAAATCAAAGCGCAAATACTGAAAATCCTCCCTTTTTACAGTTTATTTTGATGTAAGTCAAATGTGATAACGCTATTGTGTAAGGACGACATAAATATGGGAATATTGGGGATTTGTATTTGAATAAATCACGCTAAACATAACGATATTTACAGATGTGTGTGACCATACTACTGCAGCACCGAGTATACTGTAGGAGAAATGAAACGCCATCATGTTCTGCAGAGCCACTCAGAATAAAAAAACGCAAATTATAGTATTATAATTCGTACCTTAAAGAATGGCAACTAATTAAAATGGTGGATAACGGTTGCTTTTGGTACAAATATGGTATTTTGGTGATAAAAAGTCAGAAAATGTGTTATTTGATCCCCTTAATACTGAAGATGTAGTCTTTTTTTGGTGCAACATCCTTTAAATCAGTGGTTCTCAACTGGTCAGGCTTCGGGACCCACTTCCGGCAACAATCTTGATTTTGATTGGCCAGAACACTCGAAAAAACATCGGCAAAGGTGTTTTATTGAGAAGATGATCACTACGTGACAGAAGCTTTCAAAACCGTTTATGGTCTCCGGTACTTCCAGTCCAACGCCTACTGCATGCACAGCGTTAGAACATCGGGCCTTCAAAATAAAAGTTAGATTTTTTCCCAAAAATGAAAAAAAAAAAAAAATCGTTTTTTTCAAAAAATGTTTCTTCACTCACAAATCTGCGACCCACTCGAAACGGGTCCGCGACCCACCAGTTGAGAACCACTGCTTTAAATTATGCCTTCTTATCTTTGCTACCAGACAAACAAACCAAATTGAACACCAGGAACATATTTGCAACAAAAACATTTCCCAAATTGGGATTAATAAAGTACATTTGATCTTATTTCAGCTTCACGATGAGACTCACACATGGCGGAGGTGGAGGGGTCTTCGTCGGAGGTGAAGGTGACGAACAGGACATTGTCGGAGGCTGAAACGCTTCCATACTGTCCCGACGCCGTCATATTCTGAGCCAACGCGTCTCCTGGAGCTGTGACGTACGCAGCCTGCGAACAAAGACCAGGATAAAAAATATGTTAGAGATTAATACTGAAATGATGTACAATACATTCGAGCGATTCCAGGTTTAAGAGCATTTTAAATCGGCATGATATTGATATTTAGGGGTGAGGTATCAAGTAATCACTGTAAGACAAAATAATGCCATGTAAAAATTCCATGTGGAATGCTGCCCTTTCCTAACAAAATGCTAAAGTGGCATTTCTATTAATTATTCATTCATAATTTTCTTTATTTAATTACTGATTCTACATTTCTTTTGCTTTTACTTCACATCTTTTTTTTTTTAAAGATGTATGAACTTGTTTTGAGCATCAGGACTGTTTGAGGCATATGATAGCTATGTGATTAACATGATGATTCAGCCTCTATGGAGAGAGACATATGACAAGCATGATCATTTCTGACGTGGAGCTAATCTGAAGTAAACATTGAATACTGCTTTCTATTCCTCCATCTTGTGACTGTGTAACTCCCTCTCTTGGATATCAGCATGTGAAGGACACTGTTCAGGAACTAGTTGATGCTCTGTATGTGATGACTACTTCCATTCTGGAGAGGATCACAGATACATGGATCCTGAGATTCAAGCTCAAGCCGGGGACCAGGGATTATTAACATTTTGAGATTTTTGAGAAAAAGTCAGATTTTGAGAAAAAGTCTGGATTTTGAGAAAAAGTCTGAATTTTGAGAAAAATATATAATTTTTGAGATTTTGAGAAAAAGTCTGGATTTTGAGAAAAAGTCTGGATTTTGAGAAAAATATATAATTTTGAAATTTTGAGATAAAGTCTGGATTTTGAGAAAAATATATAATTTTTTTGAGATTTTGAGAAGTCCGATTTTTGAGAAAAAGTCCGATTTTTCAGAGAAAGACAAACATTTTAGAAAAATTCCAAATCTTTTGAAAAATTCTGAATTTTGAGAGAAAGTCAAATTTTTTTCAGAATTTTAGAAAAATGCAGAACTTTTTTTAAAATTTAGAATTTGGAGAGAAAGTGAAAATGTTGAGATTTTTAGAGAAAGTCAGAATTCATAGAAAAATTCGTCATTATTTTGAGAGAAACTCATAATGTTGAGAAACTCGTAATTTTTTAGAAAAAGTCAGAATTTAAAGTTTTTTATTGAAAAATTTCAGATTATTTTTGAAAAAGTCAGAATTTTGAGATTTTCAGAAAAAAGCCAACATTTCGAGAAAAAACCCGCTATTCCTCCAACTAGTGACTGTGTAACTCCCTCTCTTGGATATCAGCATGTGAAGGACACTGTTCAGGAACTAGTTGATGCTCTGTATGTGATGACTACTTCCATTCTGGAGAGGATCACAGATACATGGATCCTGAGATTCAAGCTCAAGCCGGGGACCAGTGAGATTTAAAAACAGCTTAAAATATCCCAAATTTCCAAATGTGTTTCCATGTGTTTCCTATAATAAAGTTGTTTACCTGCGCCTTGTTGTACTTGTTGCCGTGGCTACAGTTGAGCTGCAGCTCGGTGTAGGAGTAGTATCCGTGATCGTCTTCACACATCCTGGAGACGAAGGTGAAGTTCTTCGTGTCCTGGACTCCCAGCGTTCTGGAGAACAGGAAGTAGACGAAGCCGTCATCTTTGAAGGCGAATCGGAAGTCGTGAAGATATCGAAGAACGAAAGGATTCGCCTGAACCGCCGACGCCTCGATGATCGAGTCGAAAACAACCCAGTCCCCGACATCCTGAAGGATCCGAGTAGAAATCAGCTTCGTACTGTCATGGCTGCCGTAGCCTTTACCAACCTGATGAAGAGGAGGAGGAGGAGGGAGAGGAAGAGGAGGAGGAGGAAGAGGAGGAGAAATTACACTTTATATTCTTGTTTGAATTTTGTCAATAATACAGGAACAGCACAGGTCAACCGCTTATGTGTTGGAGCGCTAGCCAATAGGGTGCGAGTGTTACAAAGTGATGTCACTATGTTCCGGAACCTTGGGATTTTTGCCTTTGCAGGCCATTTACATGCACTAAAAACCAATATCACACACTACAGGAAAGGGAAAACCCCCACAAAAAGCATCATAGAACCTCTCGCACTAAAAGTAAATTCTAAAATGAAGGTCTCCTATCGCCTACCAGGAAGACGGTGAAGTTATCCTTTTCTTTGGGGGAGTTATCCTTTTCTTTGGTGAAGTGTGACATCACTCCCACCACGGAGACGCTCTCCTCGGCGCTCGCCACGTACGACTTCTCTCCCTTGGAGTCGCTGAAGTAGATTAGCTGCTGCACGTCGCTCAGGTTCCTCAGAGAGCAGATTCCCCGGTAGACGCTGCCGCACACCACCAGCATGTCACTGCCCTCCTGCACCAGGATCAGCTTGTTGTGGTTGTCCGTGTCCACCGCCTCCTCGCAGGCGTCCGTGACGGGAGGCGTGCACTGCCGGTTGTCCCGTTTCGGACCCGTTTCTGTGTCGGCTTCAAGCTGCAGATCTGGGGCCAGCTGGTACAGGTGGTTCACGGCGCCAACGTAGAGGCGGCCAGATCGAGGGTCTGTTACCACGTTGTTGATGAGCGTGTCCGAGGAGAAGGAGTCCACGTTTTTACTATAAGAGGGGAGGATTGTTGCTAGGGACAAGAGGGCAAACTGCCACGACCTCCAACGCTCCATCACGTCTGCAGGGAACACAGAAACAACTTTTTTTAATGCTTTTGGTATCAATCAATGTTCATGGCTACTGCCTGAGATCGAATGCTGTGGTTGTATTAAATGCCAACAGCTAGGACTGTCTTAGGGAATACAGCTTTTAGATGCGCAGCTCCGCTAACTTGGAACAGTCTGCAAAAGGAATGGAAGTTGAGCAGTTTGGTCCATTACATGTTTTTAAACAAGG